TATCTCTCTCAATTTCTCTTCCTCTCAGCTTCCTTCCTCTCTCTTTCTGGAACCCAATTCTGAAGCTCCCTCACCTTCCTAATGGATATGGACTGTCTCTCAGCCCCCAACACCTCTCAAGAGCTTCATACCCAGCCATCTTATCCATTTTTCAACAGCCACTACAAGTGCCTGTATTCTCCTCTATCAAAGAGGAGAATTTTTATTCATTAATTTACTCATTCATTCAAACAAGAAATATTCTCTGGGATTCCACATAGCTAACACAAGTTCATTCATACCTCTTGTGATTTTCAGTTATTTAATGTTTCTGTGTCTCAGTTTCCACATTCCTCCCTAAAATGATGATAATGATAGTAACTGCTTCGTGAGGTTAATATGAAGATTAAATTAAAGATGATAAAGCATGGGAAGTTTTTTCATTGTCTCTATCACCTAGTGAGCATCTATACATGTTAATTATCATCAATGCATTGCTGTAAACACATATTTATTGTTAAATCAAAAGAAATAGTGATACATACTAATCAGAAACAGTCTCAAATATATAGAGAAAAAACTGAGAGTTGCTAGATGAGAGCAGGGTGGGGATGAGGAAGAAGGTGAGGGATTAGAAAGCATAATCGGTAACCAGAAGACTGCCACGGGGGTGCGAAAGACAGTTTGGGGAATATAATCAGTAATGTATATATTTTGTAGGGTATCAGATGGACATGTGACTTATTAGGTAGACCACTTCATGGATGGTGTAGGTGCCTGACCACTGCAGTGTACATCTGAAGCTGAAGCAGAATAATAATGAATGTCAACTATAATTTTATATATATAGAGAGAGAGAGACAGAGAGACAGAGACAGAGAGAGAGAGAGACAGAGAGACAGAGACAGAGAGACAGAGACAGAGAGAAAGAGAGAGAGAGAGAGTCACAGGATGTGGAGTACAGCATAAGGAATAGGGTCAGTAGAACTGTAATATACATACAATGTCAGGTGTAGTAACTTGGGGGAGGGGGTTATCACTTTGTGAGGGGTGTAAATGTCTATTACATTGTTTTGTGCACCTGAAACTAATACAAACATATAGTGATAATGATAAAATGAGACAAGACATATAAAACATAATACAAATGCTCAACACGTGGAGGTCCTCAACAAATTTTAGCTAATTTAGTAAATTTGCCACTCTAATTTTTGTGTATTTGTAAGTTTCCAGTCCATGTTCTAAGGTATTTATATTTTCGTTAATATGTGAAATAATTTTGATTTATTTTCTACGAGATTTAACTAGACATATGAACACTGCTGTTTTTTTCTCTTGCACCACTTTTTTGGTGAATTTCTATTTTTAAATAATTTTAGATTTAAAGAAAAGTTGCAAAGACAATACAGAGAGTTCCCACAGTAACGAATATGTTTTGGAACCAGATGGAAGCAATGGCTGCAAAACATTCTGAAAACACTGTATGCCACTGAAAGCCATTTAAAAATGGCTACCAGTTTTACATATCTGTTTGTATTAACTGCCTTACTAAAATCATACAAAGTTAAAAGAGGTTTTCAGCTGCCAATTCATTATCTACAGCCAATACACCATCTTCAAACAATGAAAAGTTGACTTTTCAATACTTAGGCCTCTTATATCTTTTTCTCCTTGCATTGCATTGGTTGGAATGTCCCAAGAGTTGATAAATAACATTAATGATAGTAGACTTTCTTTTTTCTTTTTTTTTTTAAACTTTATTGGGGAACAATGTGTTTTTTCCAGGACCCATCAGCTCCAAGTCAAGTTGTCATCCTTCAATCTTAGTTGTGGAGGGCGCAATCTCAGTTCCAAGTCCAATCACCGCTTACAATCTAGTTGTGGGGGGGGGGAGGGCGGAGGGTGAGGGGGCGTGCATAGCCTACCATCCCATGCAGGAGTCGAACCAACATCCTTGTTGTTAAGAGTACACGCTCCAGAGCTGGCTGAGTGGCTCATTGGTTAAGAGTTGGCTTGGGAGCGCAAGATCTGAGCAGCAGGGCCGCTGGTTTGGATCCCACATGGGCCAGTGATGCTGCGCCCTCTACAGCTAAGATGGTGAACAACAGCTCGACCTGGAGCTGGGCTGCTGTGAGTCACGGTCGTCAGCGTAGGCTGCAGTGGAGCTGCGGTGGGCTGCAGGTAAGCTACGGTGAGTGGCTGGCAGCCTGCGTGAGCTGCCAAGAGCCGCTGTGAGAGGCCGTCAAGTGGCCAGCGACTGATTGCCGGGAAGAGCACAATGATCACAATACCAACATGGGCCAGTGAAGCAATGTCCTCCACAACTAGACTGAAGAACAAAAGGACAGCAACTTGTCTATTTCCCTTCCCCAAGTCCCCAATAAAATCTTAAAAAAAAAAAAAAGAGTACATGTTCTAACCAGCTGAGCCATCCTGCCACCTGTTGGCAGCTCAGCAACAGCGATAGCTCAGCTCGGTCTCAGCTCACTAGCCCATGTGGGAATAGAACTGGCAACCGTGATGCTCAGATCTTGAGCTCTAACCAACTGAGCCACCCAGCCGGACCTTCTTTTCTTCTTTAATTCTTAAAGGGGAATTCTTCTGTTGCTCCTGCCAGAAAATCCCACCAGAGCATTTTTGGGGGTAAGTTTTGATGTTTATTTAATTCCTTCCTTAATTTTGTATCTGTTATCCTCTATCTTGAATCAACGTTGGGCATTCATATTTTCCCAGAAATAAATTCATTTCTTAGAGATTTTCAAATATTTAACATGGAGTTATAAGTAATATTATCCAACAAATTAAAGCATTTCCTTACCTCTGTGTTCATTTTTCTCATTCCTACTTTTAGGCATTTCTGTTCTTTCTCTCTTTTTATCTTTTTTATTAGATATCTGTCTAATTTTGTTTATTTGTTGGCTTTTGCCAAAGCATTAGCTGTGAAATTTATTTTCCAGTTCTAAAATTTGTCTTCATTTTAATTCATTAACTGTACTTTTATCTTAATTTTCTTCTTTACCTAGGTTTGTTTTATGGAAGTTTTATCAACAACATATTCAAATTTTGAAGTGTTTCTATTTCTTGAGGATAGACTGTATGTGTGTTCATTTGCACTTTTGAACAATATAACAGAAGAAAATCAATCTAAAAATATAGATTCATGTTACCACTCAGATATTACCCCTGTTCATATCCTGGTGTATATTGTAGATAATTTTTTCCTTGGGGTTGTGCAAATATGTGTTTTAAATATAAAATGAAAACTCATATGCTGATTTAACTTTTCCAGCCCAGGAAAGCAGACAAAATATTCTTTCATAACAGTATATTAAGTGTTAGTTCTCTTTCCACATGATGGATTGCATTTTTTATCTTTTTAAAATGGGTTTCTTAATTCCCTCAGTGAAAAAGATACCTTATTTTAACTTCACCCTGGATTGGTGCAAACATAATTGCGGTTTTTTCAACTATTTTAACCTTTTAAACCGCAATTTCTTTTGCACCAATCTATAGTAAGAATGAAAATTTTCTCTAACATTTTACCCTTGTTACTTTTCATTTTATGAATTGTTAATATTCTATGCCTTTTTCCTAGTTAAGGCATCAATTTTTCTATGATTTGTAATTGTCTTTATAAAATATTAAGTGTTATCAAATATTTTTTTGCATTCTAATTTTCTGCAAGGCTCATTTTATCATTCAGAATTTTTCAATTTATGGTCTAATTATTGATCTTTCTTTTATTTCTACCAAAGCCTTTTTTTCAGAGAGAACTTCTACTTTCAAAGATTGTATATATTCATGTATAAGTTCATATCACCTATATATTTATCTATATTTTCTTCTAATAATTTGTATAGTCTCTTGTTCCACACTTAACATTTGAAGTTCTGGGGTCATATGAATATAAGATTAAACTTTATGTTTTCTAAATACTTAATCATCTCTAAACAATTATTTGTACCTTTGAAATACCTTTTAAAGTAACTAAGAATAAAAAAATGCAAGTCGAGTTGGTAGAAAGAATTATGTATCTTAAATTATGCTGAACATGATGTTAACAAAAATCTAGGGTTATTCCATGAAAGAAAGAATATAAGAATTCTAACACTTACCATAAATTTTAACAGTGTTCTGAGATTTCATACTAATGCAATAAGACCTAAAGATAAATAGGTGTTGTAAATTAATATTATTTGAAGAAAGTAGATGAACATTAGGGAAACTCTTAAAATTAATAGAAAATCCAGAAAATGAATACGACACTTTATAAATTGAGGAAAATCAAAAGCTTTCCTAATATAATAGTAATATCAGAGCTATAATGTAGAGGAGTTTATTCTTAATGACATTAAACCTAAAATACATGAAAATACTGTGTAGAAATCCTGCCATTTGCAACACCATGGATGAACCTGAAGGACACTATGCTAAGTGAAACAAGCCAGACTCAAAAGGATAAATACTGAATGATTCCACTGATATGAGGTACCTAAAATAGTCAGACTAATAGAAGCAAAAATTAGAATGGTCGTTGCCAGGGGCTAGGGGTGGAGAAGTGGAAAATTGTTGCTAAATGCATATAAAATTTCTGTTATGCAAGATGAGTAAGTTCTAGAGATTTGCTGTGCAACATAATGTGGTATTGTGCACTTTAAAATGTTGAAGATAGAGCATAAGTGTTCTTACCACAAGCGTGCGTGTGCACACATACACGCGCACACACACACACACACAGAATACAAGGAAATTTTTGGAGTTGATGGTGATGTTTATCACCTTGATTTCTGTGATGGTATCATGGGTGCATACATATGTTTAAACTTATCAAGATCTATATACACTAAATAGATGCAATTTTTGTCCATCTATTATACCTCAATAAAGCTAAAAAGAAAAGATAAACTCATGTGAAAAGACAAACTCAATATTTAGAAACACTAAGACATTTTATTTAGAAATTTAATTTTTTTAAATTTAATTTGGGAGCATTGGTAATATACATGAAATGTAAATGATGATTAATAATAACATTGGTTATTTTTGTTTTATTGTTGTTGTCAGCAGAAAGACCACCCAAGGTCCGAAGGATCTAACATATAGAAACTACAACACAATAAAGGAATGCTTCAGTGATTGGAAGGTCTGCCTAGAGTTAGGGAATTCCCCTTTCCCACAAGTACTGAGCAAAAAGTGCAAGAGCAACCAACCATCAGGGATGCAGGGAAAGAGATAACTACTTAAGGATGCAGTCATCCAGTACTCAAGAAGTAGTGCTCTACTTAGTGTTCATCGGAGTTCCCTGGGAGGGCATGTTAAAGCACAGAGCACTGGCTCCATGCCCTGAGTACCTGATTCCCGAAGTCAGGTGGGCCCCAAAATGTGCATTGCCAACAGGCTCCCAAGCGATGCTGGTCAGGGACCACAATTTGAGAAACGCTGAACCTAGACACAGACCATTTTTCCAGCTAACAACAGTAACCACTGTTTGTCAGGAAAGGCAGCCAATCATTACCCAAAATGAATGACTATGATTTCCCTAGGTGTGGAGTAAGGATATTTCTATCATTCTAATGATTGTTTATTTGGAGTGAATTTTGCATTCTTTTTTTCCCTCCTTCTGGGCAAACGCAGCAGTCCCATGGAAAGAGGAAACAAAACTAGAGTCAGGAACTTTCTTCTCCTGGGACTTTCAGAGGAGCCAGACCTGCAGCCTGTCCTTTTTGGGCTGTTCCTGTCTGCATACCTGATCACTGTGTTTGGAAACCTGCTCATCATCCTGGCCGTCAGCTCAGACCCCCACCTCCACACGCCCATGTACTTCTTCCTCTCTAACCTCTCCTTTGTGGACATCTGTTTCACCTCCACCACCATCCCCAAGATGCTGGTGAACATCCAGACACAGAGAAAAGTTATTACCTATGCAGGCTGCCTCAGCCAGATTTTTTTTTTCATTTTGTTTGGATGCCTGGACAATTTACTCCTGACCGTGATGGCCTTTGACCGCTTTGTGGCCATCTGTCACCCCCTGCACTACACGGTCATCATACACCCCCGGCTCTGTGGGCTGCTGGTTCTAGGGTCATGGTGCGTCAGTGTCGTGGGCTCTCTGCTCGAAACATTGCCTGTCTTGAGGCTGTCCTTTGCGAACATGGAAATCCCTCACTTTTTTTGTGATCTTCCTGAAGTTCTGAAACTTGCCTGTTCTGACACCTTTGTCAATAACATAGTGGTGTATTTTGTGACTATTGTCCTTGCTGTTTTCCCTCTCTCTGGGATTCTCTTCTCTTATGCTCAGATTTTCTCCTCCATCCTGAGGATTTCCTCAGCTGGGGGCAAGTACAAAGCCTTCTCCACCTGTGGGTCTCACCTGTTGGTGGTCTCCTTGTTTTATGGCACAGGCCTTGGTGTCTACCTCAGTTCTGCAGCCACTTCATCTTCTAGGACAAGCCTGGTGGCCTCGGTGATGTACACCATGGTCACGCCCATGCTGAACCCCTTCATCTACAGTCTGCGGAACAGGGACATGAAAGGGGCCCTGGGAGCACTCCTCACCAGGGCGGCGACTCTCAAGGATGAAGCAGTTATTGGACTCTCATGAGTAGCTGGGTGCACAATACTGAGAATCAGAAATCCTGGCTTCCTTTGTCCAATATTTTAAATTTTCCAAATTTTATATGTTCTAAGGCAGAACTTTCCTTGGGTCTTCACTGTTCTTTTCCTGTTTTTCTTAAGGTTCTATCTTAGGATCTCTTTTTCGCTTTATAATCAGTCATTTTAACTTTGTATGAATAGAACCTGGTATTTTCTCAATTGTATCTTCCATAATGGTTTGGATTTTTTTAAATAAGTCTCATTCTTTTAAAATATATCCTCAGAAGTGATGAGATGTGTACCTATTTTGGAAGTGCTGCCCTGCAAACTCATTTACAGAGATGATTTCTGAAGTTACATGAAATTCAGCAAAGTTGTAGAATACAAAATCAATATACAAAAATCAGTTGACCATGTGAAGAAGAGAGGGAGAAGACAACCATCTACCTGCTAAGGAGGGAGGCCTCAGAAGAAACCAGCCCTGATGACACCTTCTAGCCTCCAAAACTATGAGAAAATTAATTTCTGTTGTTTAAGCCACCCTGTTTCTAGAACCTTGGCATGGCAGCCCTAGCAAAGTAATGTACCCTGCTCCCACAAGTAACCCAGTAGGTACACAGATCTGTGACATGGGGTGGGGTGAGGCCAGAGGCTGAAATTCTGGTTTGAGACTGGGATCCCAGCAAAGTTCCCCCTGGTCAAACGTGGAGTAGGATGTTTTATAATGTGAACTTCGAAAAGGAATACATCTGCCAAGAAGGACTCCTAGTGGTTAACTGGGGGCAAAATCATAACCAGGGCCTAGCAGCCATTGCTGACAGAGACCTCTCACACACTCTGCATTTCAGGAAAGAGCCCCAGACTGGCCTCCCAGCCCCCTGTACTGCATTCCTGCTATAAGGGAGTTCCTGGAATCATCTTCCAATGGGTTGAGACCTCCCCCATCTTGGAACTGTGCAGCTATATCCTCATTTTCATCCATACTAACCAATCAGAGCAGCTCTGTAATGACCAATCAGGACACACAAAGCTGACCAATCAGGACTGTGCTATTTGGACCAGACTGTGCAAATGTGGGTTTCTCATTTGCATAAAATGAGCCAATCAAGAAGAGGGCAGGACCTCTCTCTTTTTTTTTTTAATTGGGGGATGGGAACAGCACTGGGGAATTGGAGGAAGGGGAACAGACAAGTTGCTGTCGTTTTGTTCTTCAGTCTAGTTGTGGAGGATGTTGCTTCACTAGCTCAAGTTGGCACCATCATTGCGTTCTTCCCGGGCGAGGCAGATCAGTCGCCGGCTTCTGGACGGCCGCTCACTGCGGCTGCTGGCCGTTCACGCTTGCTGCTGGCTACATACGGTAGTCCATGGCAACCCACTGCCGCAGGGGCTGCAGCCCATGCCATCGCGGCGACTCCCGGCAGCCCAGCTCCAGGCTGAGCTGCTGTTCAGCATCTTAGCTATAGAGGGCAGTGTCACCGGCCCTCATATGTGGGATCCGAACCGGGGCCCTCTGGCGTCCCAAGCCAGTTCTTAACCATCGCGCCACTCGGCCAGCCCAGGACCTCTCTCTCTTAAAGGCAGCCTCCTTTCTGTCTTGATAGAGCACACTTTTTGTTTCCACCAGAAGCTGCATTTCCTTAGTTTGCAAACTGTTCACCTGCATAATGTCTCTCTTCTTTCTGCACCTCAGATTGAGGACTTTGACAATAAACAGAGGACGCTCTTGCCTTTGCATGGACTATTTCTAGTCTCTGACCATAAATGTCTCCATGGTGACTGCAAGTAGGTTAAAGAATTCTGGAGCCCTTCTTCCAAGTTTTTGTAATTGCTTATGCCCAACAGTTCTCTTAGGAGCCTAAAGAATGCTGGGAGGAAGGGAGGTTCCCCAAAACTTACCTGTGCTTGAATTTCCCTCCCTTCTTTGGGAAAGAGAGATGCTAAGTGAATCTTAATTTGATTTTTTTTCAAAGTATGTTTCCTGGACCAAAGGGTCATGGAGTTGAGTTTTACCCATGACAGCTAGAATCATGTTACTCTCTGTTTACTTCTGTTTTTCCCAAGCCTTTATTAAGGTCTCATTTAACATCCCACCTGGTTCATTAGGCTGTAGGAAAATAATGCTGAGGTCAACGCCCACCATTCTGTAGTAAGAAGACACAGAATCCGCTGGGGCTGGCATGGGTTGTCTGGGGCAATTCGTCTCAAGAGTCAAGAGGTCAGGTTACAAGTTCCAGCTACTCCTCCCCACTAGAAGTTCCTTCTTCTGTTTCCACCATGGGGCATATGAAGTAAAAGGTTAACTCAGAGGGCTAGGGGTGCTCAAAGCCTGCACATCCCAAAGAAAGAACTGGAACTTGATTGGCTCCTGGGAGGTGACCTCTGAGCCTTGGACTATCCTGCCTGATAAAAGTGTCCTTGTATACTTGGGGTCTTGAGGGAGTCTATGCTGACACTGTAATTTATAGTGAGTCCATTTTTGTTCACCAGGGGCCCTGGGCAATGCTGTATTAGTTTGACCTCTGGGGGGGACTAAAGAATGAGTAATTAAGGTCAGCAGGCACTCCATGCCTATACAACAGATGCCCAATAAAAACCTTGGATGCCAAGGCTCAGGTAAACTTCCCTGGCTGGCAGTACTTCATCCATGTTGCCACACATAGTTGGTGGGAGAATTAACTGCTATCCAAGCAGTTCCACTAAAAGCAGACAATTGGAAGCTCACATGTGGTGTGTCCTGGACCATGCCCCGTGTGCCTCTTGTCTTTGCTGATTTTAATGTGCCCTTTCACTGCAATAAACCATAAACATGAGCATCACAGCTCTTCTGAGTTCTGTGAGTCCTTCCAGCCAATCGTGAAACCTGAAGCTAGTCTTGGGGACCCCCTGACACAGAGGCCATGAATATTGTTTTATTATGGGAAATAGTGGTTCTCCTTTATCGCCTTCCATTCTGCTGCTCCTTGAGAAAATAAGGAACATGAGAGGACCCATCACCTTGTGGAACCAGCAGCTTCCCGTACCCCCAACTCCAGGGAAAACATTTCCACCCTGCCTTGCTCACCATCCTCCCTCAAGTTTTCCGCATCAGCTCAGAGAGAAACAAAGACCATGCACATTCCTTCATTCCTGCTCCTTTATCTCAGTTTCCCCCAAACATGCCAGACAGAACATGTGTGTCCAGTGCACGGCCGTTCAGGCAGCGGGCCTTCCGCAGGGCCGCCCTCACATGGCACTCTCGTTGCCTCCCCGCCCCCTGGATGCTCCCTTCTCTTGGGTCATGAGCGACTTGTAGGGCTTCCCTAGGCTGGGGAGGGTGAGCTCAGCTTCCTGCAGCTCCAGCTCCCGCTGAGACAAATGCTCAATGACCGCCGCTCCAATGGAGTCCCCCAGCACGTTGGTCATCGTGCGAAGTCGGTCCCTAGGGAGGGCGAGGGAGAGAGAATTCACCATTAGCATCCGTTAACCAAGGCATGAAGAGCACCCCAGGGGAAAGGATGAAGCAGAGGGGGTTCGCTGTGTCTGAGAATTGGGGGTTCACATTACAGTCCAATCCCTGGTTATGCAGGTCCCTCCCTCTCTCTGTCCTGTTTCCCCTCCTAACAGATGCAGAATGGACCAGCTCTGACAATGCTCACATTTGATCTCAGCAATGAAATTTTTTAAGGATGTAAACATCCAATCTAGAAACTTAGGGGTTGTGAGCTGAACAGCATATAGAATGAGGAGGTCCATATTTATTTTATGTAAACCTCCTGTTTTTAAAGTTGAGACTTTAAAAATATATATTTGCAAGCCAGCTCTGTCCCATGGATCATCTTTTTGTGATTTCTACATAAAACAGTTAAAAAGGTGGCCTTTCTGGCTGATGGGTAAAGCCTCTATTGCTTGTCTCCTCTCCGCCCTACTTCCCAAGGTTAATTCTATGGAATTTGGGATCCACAGGCCATAGTTTGGAGTATTCTCCAAGGCCCTCTCTTTACTCTAAAATCCTAGAATTCTGTGTCTTTGCTGGAACGAAGGCCCACAGGTTGGGGATGGGAGGAAGGGAAGTCCTGCAGGGAAAGCAGTGGGTTGAGGGGAGACAGAAGCAGGGTCTAAAAGACACTCACAGGAACCAGTCCACAGCTATGATCAGCGTGATGTCTTCAGTAGGCAGGCCGACCGATGTGAGCACAATGACCATCGTGACCAGACCCGCCTGTGGTATGCCAGCAGCCCCAACACTGGCTGCTGTCGCTGTGATACTGCAAATGGAGAGAGAACACAGAGGAGCAGGAGAAGGGAAGGGAGAAATGAGGAAGAGAGTGAGAAAGGGCACAAGAGAAGGGAAGGGGTCAGTTCCCTAGAGCACCTTAAATTAAAATCCCCAAAATAAAAAGCAAATCCAAGGTGACTTTCATTAAGTGCCAATGCAGATAGGTCCTCTCATCCTTTGCCAGGACCTGGAAGTCCACCTGATGATGGAATTTGGGACATTTAGACAACTCATATTGTAGATGCAAAAGTAGGTATTTAACTAAGCTGCCTCACGGGCTGGAAGAGGGCATAAGAATCAACCCAGGAAGCAGTTGTAAACCAGATGCCTGAGTTCCCTGTATGCACATATACTGGAAGCAGGTAGGTCAGGACAGCCAGGTCCAGCTGCCAAGAATGGAACTCTGGGAGACAGGCCAAGTTTAGAGCCAAAAGAAGAAATTGGCTCTGTGATGCTGAGCAAATTGTAAAAAAAAAAAAAATTATATATGGTTTTGGAAAACTAAAAGGTAGAACCCATAAGAAATGAGAGAGATGGTGGTCCACCATCAAGGACAGGGACTTGAGTGGATCAAGAGTAAGCTAGATTTTCACCACAACATCAACTCCGATTGCCTGGCATGGTGTGCTAAAAATTCTAAAGCCACTGAACTCACCAGGAAAGGCGCCAGTGCCCTGGAGTTGGCACCCCTCTTCCTGGTGGCCTCTGAAGTGCCTTCCCAAATTTTATAACTATGAACATGGGACCACTCAGGACACTTAGCCCAGACGATGTCTCTATCAGAACAGTGAATGAGCAAACGCTTGGGTTGGTGGGCAGAGAATGGTCCAGCAGACTCCAATCATTAGCCATACAACCTTGGACATAAACTCAGAGCCTCCATTTCCTCGTTTGTAGAATGGGAGACATATACCTACCTTGTGGGGTTATCAAGTAAAAGAGCACAGTGCTTCGTGAATGGGGCTTCAAGAAGGGTCATTATCACCATTATTCTAAGTAAGAGAGACTATCTCCCCTAATCACTAGCGCTGGCATAAACAGTGATCTGTGGGTGCCCTTGGGAGGCACATAGCACACTCTCAATAGGATAAGCTAATTCCAGCTGTATCCAAGAAGCCAAATCAAATTTGTTTGGGTTAAGTTCAGATCAGGTCCAAAGTAGGACAGAGTCAGTACTACTACAATAAATATATGCTGACTGATTGAACAAGAAGCTATTCCCTAATACTCCATACTTATGAGACCTGTGTCAGGGGACATAGGGAAGAGGAACCCCAGTCCCACGAGCTCCAGGTACTTCCTGCTCACATGAAGGCAGCATGGGGATGCTGACCATGGGACAGAAGGCGGTAGGGTCTGCTGACTCAGACACTTCACCTGAGCAAAAGAATCTCAAACCATTGCCCACATATACCTTTGCTTCCTAGCCCAGCTTCCTTGAATGTCTGCGCCTTCTTCCCACCCATCCATTTCTCCTCCCACCCAGTGCTCTGAGGTTACCAGACTCCTGGCTCTCTCTACCTCTTCCCGCTAGGTGACCTTAGGAAAGTAACTTAACTTGCCTCAATTTCCATTTCCTTCTCTCTAAAACAATAATGATAATTTTACCCACCTCAGGGGGGCGTTGTGAGGATCAAACGAATGCACACAAAGGTACTTTGCACAAGATTGTTTACAGAGCCTTCAATAAATTAGCTCTTTCAACTCATATTTATTGAACATCTACCACATGCTACACACCTGGAGAAATTCCCATAGAAGTAAATCCCGGCCCAAATGGAGCTTACCATCTAGTGGGGAAGTCAAGCAATAAGCAAGATGAATAAGTAAAACGCATACTGAGGCAGATGGTGCTATGAGGAAATGGTTCAGCCTAAGAAAGTCCAGACAGCAATTTTAAATAGGATATTCAGGGAATACTTCCCTGCAAATGTGATATTGGAGCAAAGATCTGATAATGTTTGCTGTTATTTTTATAATGACTAAGTTGGAACTTTTGGGTGATGGGGCCCAGGAATCCATATCTATACGGAGGTTTTTTTGTTTGTTTGTTTGTTTGTTTGTTTCTTAGCTGATCCATCCTGCCACCTGTTGGCAGCTCAGCAGCAGCTCAGCTTGGGTCGGGAATCGAACCGCTGTTGCTCAGAACTCGCACTCTTGAGCAAGCTCTTAACCAACTGAGCCACTCGGCCGGCCCTCAGGAATCCATATTTATAACAAGGGTCTCAGGTTATTAGGATGTATCAACCATACTCTGGGAAATACTGGACAAAGGGATCTCCCACAATAGCATGTGAGAGGAGATCTGACTGGAACACCTTGCCAGATTCTAACAGCCTCATGTTGAAGTCTCACCTTGACCCTTATCCAGCATGGGTGACTTGTCCCTGCCCACATTCCCCCCTCTAATATCCAATGCCTCCCTTGACCTGGAGCTGAGCCTCCTCCTCCCCTAGCCAAGCTAATGACTTCTTGGGTCTCACCTGTTGGCAGATCCCACTAAGACCATCTCACCTGATAGTTGTGATCTGGCCCAGGTTGAGCTCGTAGTTGTTGACTTGAGCAATGAAGATGGCGGCCAGAGCCTCGTACAGGGCAGTGCCGTCCATGTTGACAGTGGCCCCCACAGGCAGCACGAACCTGGTGATGCGGCGGTCTACACCCAGGCCCTCCTCCAGGCAGCGGAAAGTGATGGGCAGTGTCGCAGAGCTGGGGGAGAGAGAGCCCAGGGGGCTGAGAGCAGGGGATGGCAGGGTGGGGCTGGGGAAACAATGGGCCAACAGAGGGTTCCCCTTGAGAACACTGGGAGGCCAGGTGGGGGGCCAGAGAGAGCAGCAGATGGCAGGTCTCTAACATTTCAGAGGCAGATAACTGCATGGGGAAGAGGAACTCCTCATAACATGGGGCACACAGCAGTGGGGTCCCCCAGACTGAAGTTCTCTTGACCCACTTAAAGCCAATAACTTAAGGCTAATTACTAGACTGATTCATGCCACAAGTTCACACTACCTATCCACTCCCAGAAAGGAGAGGACTAAGGGTCTTCTGACTTGCCACCCCTCAGGGCTAAGCGAGGAGTATTACAGAGGACCCCTATCCCCACTCCCCATGTTTGGTCTGAGAGTGATCTCAGCAACACTAACCCTCTCGGTCTCTCTCCCCACCACTTCCCAGAGGAGGAGGAGTAACTTAATTGATTGGTGAGTTTAGTCAAAGGAGTGGGCATCTCATTTGGGGTTAGCCAGTCCACAAAACATGTGCTCTGTCTGGTCAGCTTTGTGTCATGCAGTGAGAAACCTGAAACAACACAGAGGGCCTTTGGGTGTCCAGATCTGTGGTGACCAGGTGAGTTTAATTCTGGGGTACAATGGCACCAATCCTACTTGGCTACAGATCAAAAGGCCATAATGGGCAATTTTTAAAAAGGCATTATGGGCAATAAAGAAATGATATTTTTCTTATCACAAATAGTTTGTGATACTTCTTAAATTGTTTTAAATTTGGATGATGGGGGGAAGTGAGCTCTTTATTAACCACCTAAAATCCCCCCCAAAAGGAGAAGGAAGCCAAGAGAGCTTTCAGACACCATCTCAAATGGAGTGAGACCCTCTGAGCTAGAAAATGACTGAGAACGTGGGGCATGTTGGAACCTTCCTCCTAACCTCAAAATTGGCAGCTGGTTTTCCTCCATATAAAACAGAGACACAGGAAAGGAGAAAAAGGGGTCAGGAGAGCCAGCCCAGGACAAAGATCGGTGCCCAGGTGAGCCACCTGGAGAACTTCAGGAGTCCCTGACATTATTGAACAACTCAGAAGAGGCTCTGTAATGGGGGGAAGGTGGGTCTCCTACAAAAGCCCATGAAAGACAGTGAACCTAGGAAGGGTACCAGTGATGGGGGGACAAGACCATACCTGGAAGACGTGCCCATGGCGGTAATGAGGGCCTGCAGCATGCCCCCGATGAAGGGGAAGGGGTTCCGGTGGGTGATGAGGAAGTAGATAAGAGGCAGGACACCACCAGCATGGAGGAACAAGCCCACAATGACGGTCAGGGTGTACATGCCCAGCTGACCCCCTAGGACAGCCATGTCTTCCATCTCTAGGATCTTCCCAGCAATCAGGAACAGGATGCCCACAGGTGCGTACCTGGGCCAAGCCAGAGACCTGTCAGGGCCCCCTCATGACTTCCCCTACAAGCCCGCAGCTCTCAGCCCCAAAGGCTTTGCCCATATAAGACCCTAGAACCAGGCAGTGCTCACCCCACAGCATCCTACTCCACTCCAACATTTCCCATACATTAACAAATGGGGCTGGGCGCCACAGATATATCCCACCTCTTCTTCCTACTCACCCACAACTCAACCCCAGACAGCAGAAAAGTTCTTACAACTCCAGGGTATGCAATCTTCTAAGGTCTGACCTTCATCCACTCCCCCATTCAAGTCCTCCCACAACCCCCCCCCAAAAAAATAATCTCTGTCTTCAGGACTCTCCCTAGACACTTCCCAGACAATTGCCATTTCTAGCCCTCTAACTTTCCTTATTCTCTGCCCCCAACTCTTTGTTCTACCTTTGTCACTTTTATACCCCTATTGTCTTTCCCATAAGTGCATATTCTCACTCATTCACCAGCCCTGAGCTATTTTACCTAGGTTTCCCAAGGACATCTCAAACCTGTCTTATCAAATCATCTGTTTTTTCATTCACTCAACAAATATCTACTGAGCACCTACTACGTTCCAGTCACATGGTCCCTGTCCCCCGGTGCTTACATTCCAATGAAGGAAATAGGGGTACACATGGAAATGTGTAATTAAAAGCTTCAGGTGGTGAAAACTGCAAGAGAAAGTCACTGAGTAGGGCTGCTTAAGTTTGAGTGGTCAGGGAGGGCTTCTCTGAAGAGGTGACATTTAAGCTGAGGCTTGAATGATGAGAAGGACCCATGTATATCTGAAGGGGAAGCACTGCAGGCACAGTGCAAAGACCCTAAGATGAGCATTAGCTGGAAGTATTGGAGGAGTGGAGAGGCCAGTGTGGCTGGAGCAGCGAGTGGAAAGGGGAGTAGAGGAGACAGAAGAAGCAAATTCATTGGGGGCTCACCTGCTTTTCCCCACAGACCAGCCCATTGCTTAGTCTTGTGAGTTTCTGCCAGCTGTGCCATCATTCATCCATCACCAGGCTTCAATTGTTATTCCTCTCTCCTTAGAAATTGAAGTCTACATTTGTCATGTGGATGTACTGGAGGAAGTGGGGACCTCTTGGGAAGTTGGTGCGATAGCTTGGGTCAGAAATGATGAAACTCAAGCTAAGGCTGTGGGAATGAGGATGTGGGGGGACTTCTCCAGTCATACCTTGTTCCCCAAGCTGGGCTCAGGGTCAGCCCTGGTCAGTGGTTGTTGATTTATCTCCAAGTCTTGATGACCTACCTCTGTGATTACTCTGTAAATCCCTTTCCCAACTCCCTCACTTCTATCCTTCCACCTCATCCTCTGTAAAACTCCTCAGCCCTGAATCAACTGCACATGACTTCTTTCCTCCTATACTCAGCCACCTGGTACATATAGATATTTTCCCCAACCATGCCAATGACACCACTAGAAACTCATGGTTCCCAATTCAGTTCAGCCTTCAAAGCTCCTTGTCAATCCTCTTGCTTGTCCTTAATAAGCTCCTTTCCCTTTCCTCTCAGCTGCTTTTCCAGGCTCTTAACTTGGCCACTAGCCCCCTACACAATTTTCAAATTATTTGGGATGAAGTACAAGTCTTCCCCAATTTGAAACCAGACAGTCTTGTTAACATCTTCCACCACCACTCCCTAGTTAACATATGCTAGGGCCTTCCTGAACTCCTCACCATTCTCCAAACAACTCAGGTTCTTTCAAGATATGCATGTTCTCTTCCCTCTGCTTGAAGTGCCTCTCCCCTCTTCCGGTCCTGTTGGATTCCTACTCACCTCTCCAGGCCCAGCTAATAGGTGACCTTCTCCATGACTCCCTTTTCCCCTGCCCAGGCAGAGCGCACTGCATATCCCTCCACTGGCTCACTTCTCCATGTTCCCAATACTTTTTAATGTTCCTTTACAATACAACCTTCCACCTTGTATTATGTTGCTTTAGGATACGTCTGTCTTCCCCAAGACTTTGTGAGCTCTTGGAGGACAAGGACTGAATTTAATGCATCTTTGTATACCAGAGTTCAAGATGAAGGTGAGCCTGGAAAAATGTCTGATGAATGAGTAAAGAAATTGGTGAAGATGTGAAGGAATTTAAAGAATGAATGGATGAATCAATCAATCAATTAAGAAATAATTAGTGAATGAATAAATAAGAAAATGAGCAAATGAGACACGAATGACTGGGTGAGACAATGAATGTGTTAAGTGAACAGGTGAATGAATGCAGGAAATATGTGAGTGAGTGAATAACAAATGCAGAGATGAATAAGTGGGTCAAAGTATGAGTCCAAATGAATAAATGACTGAGTAAACAAATAAATTAATCAATCAATGGTTTAACTAATGCATGAATGAGTTCATGAATAAATTTATGAGTGAACGAATGTATGAATGAGTGAATTCATCAATGCATAGAAGAATGAATAAATAAACGAGAAAATGAATGAATCAATGCATGGAAGAATGAGTATCATGAATAAGTGAGTGAATGAATAGATGAACAAGAAAGTAAATGAGTGAATAAATCATTGCAGAAAGGAATGAATGAATGAATAAGAAAATAAATGAATGAGTGAGTAGTGAATTAATCCATACATATATAAATGACTTTGGCCAAATGGTCCCAATGACCCCTCAGCAGCTGCCCCACAGCCTGATTTCCCAGCTCTGGCTTCATCCTTCCCTTGTACCATCACTACCCACCCTATCATAGCCCAGCACTCACCAGATAATGATGCCCACCAGCCTCATAATAGCCTCATTGAGGCTATCGAAGAAGTCCCTCAGGACTCGGCCCTTGTGTTTCATGCCGCCAATGACCAGCCCAAAGGCCACAGAGAAGACCACAAGGCCCAGGGCATTGATGCCATTGGCCGAGCCAGATACCGGCACAGTCTCCTCAAAGGTCAGCACCTCCTGCAGGGTGCCCAAGGCCCGTGTGATATTTTCCAGGAGGCTGGTTCCATTCTCTGTTGAAGATGGAGGAGGCATGGAGGCGCTCTGCTCGGATCCGTTCTCCGTCCTCACAACAGTCCTGGTTACCAACCTCGTGCTGTACTGTGTCTTGAACTGAAATATGGAGGGATTGGGGCCAAATGCAATTTAGTGGGTGCATCAGAATCATCTTTCAAACGTCTTTCAAACACCAATCCCTGGTTCCCACACCCTGGAGAGTCTTATTTAGTAGATCTGAATGAGAGAATGAACAATTTGACCGATGCAGAGAAAAGCGAGTGAATGAATAGATGAATGAGTGAGTGAACAACCAATGCATGGAAGAATGAGTGTAGAGTCTTCATTTTGCACAAGTTCCGTGGGTGATGCTTGGACAGATTTGTGGGCCTGTCTCCTCAACCACCTACAGTCAGAAGCCTTGGTTCCTCCTCTAGTACCTTCCCCAGGAAGCCCTTGGCCTACATCCTTCTCTCTAGCCCTTCCTTGATCATCACACCAATGGCCATTGCTCTGTCAGGCCCATCTTCCCACCCTTCACCCCTGGACCATTCACTCAGCAGCAAGCTCCCCCACCCTTCAAGCCTCCCTCATCAAACTCTGTACTTCCCCTGACCTGTTTGAAGCAGGCCTCCACAAGGTTGGGTGGGAACATATTTCTGCAGAAAAACATCAGATGAAGGGAAGGGGTTAGATGATGGAAAGGTGTCTAGAGTAACAATAGTAATAATAATAGCAAGGGCAACGGTAACAATGGCAGCCAACATTTGAACACTTACTCTAGTCCAGGCTAAGTAAGCTAATGATCTGGTTTAAACACTACAATAACTCTAGAAGTGAGTACCACTGACATCCCCATTTTGCGTGCACACACATGCACGCACGCACAAAGAATTTATATAAGTTACCCAAAGCCACACAGCTGCTAAGGGGTGCAGATGGAGCTCAAATCCAGGTCTGTCTGAGCCCTTTGGTAGGACCATATGCCACCACAGGGACTTCACACATACATGCCAGTGACGCCTCAGGGGGGAAAAAACAAACAGACAGCTCCTGCATTCGTCCAACTCCCCCCAAGTCAGCGGCTAGGGTAGAACTATGGCTAGCCTTGATTCTGGCTGGCAAATCTTGCAGCTCTAAGAGAATTATTCACTTTAATTATTCAATTGAATTATTCAATCCTTCCAATTGAGCTTGGGAACAAACACCGCCTATCCTGAGCCCATCCCCAAATCTGCAGTTATCACCTCCCGAGGCTAAGGGTCTAAATATCCTATCCTAGGAGTCAGCTGCTCTCAGAAGACTTGTACGAGGCTCCAAGGCAGAAAATGGATACAAATAAAACTAGGCTCAACTTGAGTGTTGCATTTCCAGGCTGGGTCAACCTGTCCCCTTTGTCTCTCCTTGAACATAGGTTGTTGCACGTAGGGCCGGAATTCCCATCAAAATTAGAAAGGCCGTCACCTGACCAGGTCCATGAAGGCATCGGCTGTTGGAATGGTCTCGATCCGGCCCTCGCGATGCAGCCCCTCCTTGGAGCCCTTCCCAGGATGGATTATGGTGACCATGAGGATGCCGATGAAGACCGCAATGACTGTAGTCACCATGTAGTACACAGCTGCCCGCATCCCCATCCGCCCTGTTGCCTTGTTGTCCAGGGACGCCATACCTGGAGGACAGGTGGTGCAGCCCCAAGCAGCCCCATCCACACCCCACCACCCACTCTCCCATCCATCCACTTCTTCCTCCCACACCACCAACTCAACAGCCATTCCACCAAGCATCCCTTTCTCCTATACCCCACCCAGCACCCACATCACCATCCTGTGACCCATATCATCATTTTCAACCCCCATTCTATTTTCCATATACTTCCGACCATCCTTTTTCCCAGGCACTGCTTCACTAAGCTTCCTTCTACTCCAAGCAAACATTTACAACCCCCACTCCACCTTCCATTTGTCCCAATTTTGCACCATAACCTCACTTTCATTCCACTCTTCATCTCACTATCCGCCCCATAATGACATCCCCCTCTAACCTAGCTCACTGTACGCTATCTCTAGGAGATACTTTTGGCACCCTATCTAGACACCCTTTACCAGGCTGATACACCTATCCTTCAGCTGCTGAGTATGTTGGCTGCTAACAGCTCATGCTAACCCCCGCCCCCTTAAGAATTGCCCTCACAAAACAGGAGCTGCCTTACCCAGAAAGGTCCCATAGGAGACCCACAGCCAATGACTGACTGGCACAGAGATCCAAAAATCCAGCTCCTTTGACTCAGATGGGATCAGAGTTGGGGGGAACAATTCTGTAGTGTGGCACGCTCCAGAGCTCCCATGGGGTCAGGCCAAGAGGCCAGCCCTCTACTGAAGCCGCGTCTCTGCTCGCTTCTTTCCCCACCCCAGCCTGCCCCCCTCACTTCCTCGTGAGTTTCTCTTGACAGCTATCCTCAACAAATCGCTTGTGCAAATATCCCCATCGCAGGCTCTGCTTCCAGAAAACCGAACCCAAGAAATCATTCTTTCACACCTTTACCTTCATGCCTGTTCCAAAACCTGGAGACTACAATCAACCACTGAGGGGCCAAATCTGGCCCACTGCCTGTTTTTGTAAATAAAGCTTTATTGGGACACAACCATTCCCATTTGATTACATGTTAACCTGCACCTGCTTTTGTGCTCCAATGGCAGATTTGAGTAGTCACAACAGATACGGCCCCTAAAGCTGGAAATAGTTACCACCTGGCCCTTTACAGAAAAGGTTTGCTGACCCTTGCATAGTCCATCCATGTTTCCATCTCACCCCCCACCACCTATCCTATCACTTCCCCCTCAAACACCTTCATCCACATCATACTCTCTGACTGTCCATGCCATATTCCAGCTACCTTCCCCAGCTGCCCCACCATAGCCTTCCTTTCACCTCTAGATGATACTAAACTCCTGGTAGGTTGGTATTTTATTTCCAGTGAAAAGTACAGGAAAGTTACTGAGATAAGTGGTGAATGTCACATGGGGTCTGGAACCTGGGTCTGATCAGGACCTGGGCTGTGGTCAAGGGCTCTGGGCTAGGTGCACGCTCCGTGTCTGAGGTCCTAAGTTGGGGAGATGGTCCCATGCTTGGGACCACTTTGGCTCTAGGTTTGAACTTGGACTCTGGGGTGGGTCATGGAAGCCAACACTGGCCTGGGCTCTCTCACCTGTGACCAGGCTGGAGACAATGAGTGGCAGCACCAGCATCTGCAGCATCCTCATGAGAAGTTCTCCAGGGAAAGAGAAGTACTTGATCTGGCGGTAGGTGAGCTGGTACGGGCGCAGGGCAAAGGCCAGGCTGACCCCTAGGGCCAAAACAAGGTCCATGGAGTGGAGTTTGGGTCACTCAGCCCCAAGCAGGGCCATCCATCCCATGAACAGTATGTGTGGATGGGGGTGAGAGAAAAAGAGGAACATGCTATATGAGTGTGTGTGTATGTGTATACATTGTGGAAATATATGGATTTATGTTACCATGTTGATATTGTGTAAATTTGTTTGTAAAGGTTTGCACACAGATTCGTGTGTACATATGCACACACATATAACAGTGTAACTCATTTGTGCACATGTTTCTGCACCTGTATATACAGACCCATGCACATGAGATGCATGTTTTTCTCATGTGTGTATATAGGTGTGACTTATATGTATGTAGTTTTCACATATTGGGTGCATGTGTATTTAAGCTCATAAGTGTGCCAACATGTGTGCAGAGGAATGCATGTTTGTGTAAATGCGTTTGTAAGTTCTAGTATATGTGTACAACTATGTATGTGAGTTTATGTCTTTGCAACTGTAAGTTTTGTACATGCATAAAAATAATGTGTGTTCATATGCAGAAAGCATGCTTGTATAGTGTGTACATGTGCATGTATGTACACATGCATATACATATGACATTGTGTGCACACACAGCTGTGTTTGCATGAGTGTGCACTGTGTCAGTGTCCCTGGAGTGGGGTGGCTGGTAGAATGGGACATGTGCATGTGCACAGGTAAGAATGAGTAGGCAAAATGAAGAGACATGCGTGCAAGGAATTTTCCCTGCCGTCGCCGCCCTCCCAGCACACTCACCGATGATCACAGCGCTGACCGTCAGCAGGATAAAGGCGTTCTTGCGCAGGAAGCGCAGCACATGCTCGCGGGTCATAGTCTGCAGACGCAGGCGCGTGCGCAGCGCTCTCTGCTGCAAGTTCTCCTGCAGCCGCTGCAGCCAGCCCAGCCGGCCCAGCCGCTGACCACTCTCCCGCAGAAACAGGCTGTTGGCGTGGCTGCTCATCGTCTATCTGCGGGGGACAGAGGGGTCCGGGCCTGGTGAGGGGACGAAACAGAGGACGGATGTGGGTAGAGAGGGAAGGGTGGAGGAAGCCGTTGAGGAACTCGGAGAGAATCCAGACTGCAGGGAGGGTCGATGTCGATCGGCTGGGTTATGCCCCCGCTGAAACGCCGGATAATACTGCCCAGGGTTCAAGGGTCACGTCCTGGCAAAAAAGGGTCAAGGTGTCAGAATCGCTCAGGGAAGAGGCAGGGAAGGAAACCACAATATAACAGACGCTTTTGCCATTCCCCAACTCCAGCCCTTTCCTATTTCATGAGATCATCACAAGTAATTGAGGGCTGCCTCAGCTCACAAACCAATCTAACAAGCCTTTGCAGAGCGCCAAATGCATGCTACCTTGGGGCTAGCCCCGTAAATTAATATGGTTTGGTGTCTGGCCTGGGGGTGCTGACGAGTGCGCTTTCAACAACAAAATCAATGACAGCGAGAGCCTGGCAAACAGTGAGTGCCCAATAAACGCATCTGCTCGGCAGAAGTGTCCTGGTGAGCAACAGGAAGAGGGGACAGTCCCTTGGGAAGGAAATGGTGACAGTCCTTCACCCCAGTGGCTCTTGAGGATCCGTCTTTGAAGGGAAATGTGACGCTCAGTGTATATGGGGTGCCAGCACTGTTTCCTCAGCTTCAAACTTTTGTGTCTCCTCTTTAAATTTGGCCATATCCATATAACCTTATTTACTGTCTAAATAAATGTATCTAAAGTGGAAACTTTATATACATGAGACCATTACTTTAGGTCATTACTAAATTATATTTTAATATACATTTGGCCGGCCGAGTGGCTCAGTTGGTTAAGAGCGCAAGAGCAATAGGGTCACCGGTTCAATTCCCGCATGGGCCAGTGAGCTGCGCCTGAGCTGAGCTGCCGCTGAGCTGCCAATAGGTGGCAGGATGATGGCTCAACTGGTGAGTGCAAATGATCCTAATAACAAGGTTGCCGGTTCAACTCCCACATGGGATGGTGGGCTACTCCCACCCGCAACTAAGATTGAACACAGCACCTTGAGCTAAGCAGGCGTGAACTGCCAACGGGCGACCAGATGGCAACTGGACATGGAGCTGAGCTAGCTGCACCCTCCACAACTAAGATTGAAGGACAACAACTTGGCTGTTCCCCTTCCCCAATTCCCCAATAAAATCTTAAAAAAAAAAATTTAAATAAAATGCATATAAAAATGAACATCTGCCTATCCTTTTACCAAATAAACACCTTATATGTATAGGGCAACTGGGAAATGTGACTTTAATGGGCCTGAGGAACTTTTACCTTCGTGGACTCCCTTCTCCATTAAAAAAATTAAAAGTATATTTTACAACTGCATTGATATATAGATGAAGATATTATTTTGGAACTAGGTGGAGGTGATGGTTGTACAATATAGTGAATGTACTAAATGCCACTTTAAAATGGCCGGTTTTCTGTTATGTGAATTTCACCTCATATTATATATTAAAACATGTCCTTTGATCTGAAAGTTTAATTCTTTCTTCTGATTTTAAAAGAAGTGAAAACATTTCCGTGTGTTCCTAAAAGTATCATGGGCCCTGGGCACTGGGCCTCCAATTCCTGAAGGATAGGCAGCCTTGCCTGTATAGATCTCACTGCAAAAAAGTGGCAGTGCCCCTATTCCAGGGGTACTGGGAATTCTGTTACCCCTCCAGATTCACACCCAGGAAAAAGGCCGACCACTAGAGATGGCATGGCCCAGGCTTCCTTGCCCACAGGCTGCCCTTTTGGTCAGACCAGTGGAAGGCGGCAGGAGAATGAAGGGTGGGAGGTCAAGCATTGATTGTCCCAGCTCCCCGGCTCCACACCCCAGGTTGGCAGTGGCTGTGCTCCCCCACCTAAGGCCACAGCTCGCATCAGACAGTCCTCTATGCCTATTGGCCATTTGGACATCTTTGGGGAAATGTCTGTTCAGTTCCTCTGCCCATTTTTTTAATTGGATTTTGGGTGTTTTTTTTTTAATTGAGTTGTATGAGTTCTTTATATTTTGAATATGAACCCCTTTTCCAATATTTGGTTTGCAAAATTTTTCTCCCATTCTGTAGGTCGCCTTTTCATTGTATTAATGTTTTCTTTTGCTCTGCAGAAGCTTTTAAGATTGATGTAGTCCCATCTGTTGATTTTGCTTTTGGTGTCTGTGCTTTCGATATGATATCCAAAAATCATTGCCCAGACCAGCGTCACAGAGCTTCTTCCCTATGTTTTCTCCTAGGAGTTTTAGTGTATCAGGTCTTACTTTTAAGTTTTTGATCCATTTCAAGGTAATTTCTGTGAGTGTGTGACATAGAGGCCCAGTTTTGTCGTTCTGCATGTGTTTATTCAGTTTTCCCATCACCATTTATTGAAGAGGCTGTCCTTACCCCACTGGGTGTTCTTGGATCCCTTGACACCATAGAGGTGCTAACTCTCACTACAGTAGCAATCCTATCACAATATACAAATGTTTCAAAACAACATGGTGTACACCTTAAATTCACACCATGTCAAATGTATTTCAATTTTTTTTTAAAAAAGGACAAGCCACCAGTCTCCCTGGGTGCCTCTCCTGCTCCCTCCCTGCAACTCACCACTCAGGCTGGCTCCTGAGTGCCACACCAGCCATACTGGTGTCCCTTAACCCTGTCCATAGCTTTGTAAACAGTCCTTAACTTAAACTCTTTTCGATCCCCCCTTTTGAGTGTGCTATTTCCTGACTGATACACCAGATTCATCTCACTGTTAGAAAAAACTCTCCAAGCCAAAGAAAGATAGTAAATATTGTATTTTATCTAGAGTTCTGTGCATATTTGGTTTGCCTGAGATTGTTGCACCGATAAGAACTTGGCCTCGCTTAGCTAGTCTCTGAGGAATCACAGCTTCTGACACCTCTCTTGGCCACCCCTCAGCCACACCCCCACTGGCTGAATTCATCCAGGTCAGGTATGGGAGTCTGTAGGAAGTCTCAGTTCCACCAGCAGATAGGTCCCTGGACTTATTTTTTTTTCTGCCACTGGCTGAGTGGCTACTTTTTGAGGTCACTGTCTTCCTTGCCCTCCTCTGTTCCCCCATATCTGACGGATGGGACATCTGCCTGAACTTTCCAGTTCTAAGCCCCCGGGGCCCCAATGCCAAACCCCACTTGGGGTCTTGCTCCAAATAGATCCATCGATGCTGCTTCTCACCTTGCTGTGAAAAATCTCAGACATGGAACCACACACAACACAGGAAACGTAATTTTTCCCACTCCTCTATGTATGTTTCCAGTCACTGGTAGGTTAAAGCTACACCTGGGTCCCAAGAGAGTGATCAGCTGAGATCTAAACTAATCACAATAACTCCAGAGCTAGTTTTGTCTATTTCCTTTTTATTCCTGACAAAAAGTAGTATGGTGGGCCGGCCCAGTGGCCCAGTTGGTTAAGAGCTGGCTTGGGACACCAGCTCTGAGCAGCAGGGCCCCGGTTCGGATCCCACATGAGGGCCAGTGACACTGCCCTCCACAGCTAAGATGGTGAACAACAGCTCGACCTGGAGCTGGGCTGCTGTGAGTTTTCAGCGATGGCATAGGCTGCAGCTCCTGCTGCAGTGGGCTGCCATAAGCTACCCTGTGTGGCCAGTAGCCAGTGTGAGCAGCCAAGAGCCGCTGTGAGCGGCTGTCCAGAGGCCAGTGACCAATCTGCCTCACCCGGGAAGAGCACAATGATAATACCAACATGGGCCAGTGAAGCAATGTCCTCCACAACTAGACTGAAGAACAAAAGGACAGCAACTTCTCTGTTCCCCTTTCCCCAAAACCCCAGCACTGTTCTCCTCCCCCAATTCCCCAATAAAATCTTTTTTAAAAAAAGTAGTATGGTATAGAGCAGGAATGGACAAATACTGCCCACTGCTTGCTGTAAATAATGTTTTATTGGCACACAGCCACACTCATTCCTTACATATTGTCTATGTGCTATCATGGCTGAGTTGAGTTGTTGGGACAGAGATTATATGGGCCACAGTACAATCTCTCTGGCCCTTTACTGAAAAAATTTGCTGACCCCTGGCCCAACAGAAGGACATATCTGAGCTCTTATTTCAAACCCCACTCTACCTTTCAGGAACAGGTGACCTGTTCTACGTGGCTTAGATGGCCCAATTCATGTGATGCTTAAAACAGCACCTGGTGAGCACAAAATAGATGCCAACAGTGGTTGATAAAAAGCAGAAACCCAACAGACACACGATTGAAGATAGAAGAAAATGCTGAAGTGGGAGGCTATCCTCTTATCAATTTTTCTCAGTCCTGTCTGCATCACTTGTCAAGCACTACTTGACTTAAGGTTTTCCCAGGATCTTGGCTTCCACTTGGACCTTTCCTCAGTCTGTCTTGGACCACTGGGGGCATCTACCCCTACCCTGAGTTCTCTCTGTTCTAGTCTCTCCCAGTCCTAGGCATTCTCTTGACCCTGTTTCTTAGGTCTCCTGCTTGGGGAATGGCCCTTCCAGTGTCCCCAGTCTCTGCAAGAGCTCAGGGATGGGTTTCTGACTTGGTTACCCCAACCTCCAGACTCAAATGAGATGTGCCGGTGGCCCCTCCGAGCCAAGGGAAAGAAAACAAGCCTCTTACTTTCTAAAGCTGAAACAAGCTGCAGTGGGCAAAACAAGGTTGCTTTCCATACATTTTCTCAACACTCTGCTAGGAAATCACAAACGTCACACATCTCACACACATGGACACACAACCTCACACAGACAGCTGTTCAGACATACAGCCCCACACACACCTTCAGAAATCCAATTGCACTCGTGCAGCATCAGTCCTACAACTCCTACACACACAGCACATGCACACACACTTGCCACGTTCATGTACACCATCCGACACACAGCCCCACACACACCTTCGAGGCCCTACACAACTTCCCTTTGTAAATGAAACTCTATACAGGCAGTGGCGTCAAACAATTCCTACACACACACACACACACACACACACACACACACACACGCACGCACGCACGCTCGCACGCCATGCAGGACACAAAACTTCAGACATTCAAATTCATTCTATTTAAATATTCAACCCCACACACCTCTTTGGGAAGGCGACCCCAATCATAAGTTGCCTCACACAAGCACACATCACCACCACCTCACACACATCTTTGGACCCAGCCCTC